AATTTAGACCAATCCCCACATATATTCCCTACTAAGAAACAAACGTAAGGTTAGTGGCGTGACGAGCATGATCATGGTCTGCTGCTGCGGGTGGTGGTAGAAAGGTCCAATGTGCTCCTGACTGGTTGAGTGTTTAGGGCTCAGGCTTTGGGGCGAATTTAGGGTTTAGGGTTTAGCGTTTAGGGTTTGGGGTTTAGGGTTTAGGGTTTAGGATTTAGGGTTTAGGGTTTAGGGTTTAGGGGGCCACCTAATGATGAATTGGGGGGGTTGACGTCATTAGGCAAGTATAATTCACTAAGTATTCATTAGCTTCCATGGAATGTACTAACTAACTGAATCGACCATGAACCAACTAATTATTGTTCAGAATTAAAACAACTAGTTATCAGTTCAATTAACCAAAAATCATTAACTATCTCATTTTCCATAGAGTTTAAAAGGATCTTAAACGCAACCCTATCTAAGTGTTTCAATCAATATCCTCACCTAATATTAGATATGTCTTCGGTGCCTGGAATATTCAAGATTGCGGGAGGGGGGTGGGCGTCGGGGGTGTCATCTAATATTAGGGGGGAAGCGATTAAGAAAAACACTAAACTTGCCCCGCGTTCCTCGTAGGGGTCCTCACCGCTGCGGCCCCATTGTTGGAAGCCAGGCGGGGGGAAGTCTGCAGCCATTCTGGCTATCCCAACCCTAAACCCTAAACCCTAAACCTTAAGGCGTTACGGCGCTCTGAGAAATAGGTAGGAATAGTGGAGAATCAAATGGAAAAGAAAAGGGGCAGTTAAATGGAAGCTACTGTTTAGGACTTAGAGTTTAGGGATATTGCTTCTAATGCTGTTGTATCGAATGGAAAAGAAAAACACAATGACGTGGAAAATGCAAGCAGGTGTCATGGCTGAAGGTTATCCACATGCCACCATAGTTACTTCCATTGTCATGCGCAGAAGCCCTGTGGGCAAGAGCAAAGGCACTTGGGCCCAAATGTCGGTACGTCAGAAGAATCGCAGGATGTCTGCACAATGTTCGTGCAAAATCAGCAGCACTTGAACATGGGCTTCCAGACCATTGGATCTTTTTTTCCAACCCGAAACCCTAAACCCAACCACCAAACCCTAAACCCCAGACCCTTAACCCTAAACCCTATTCTACTTCAGTGGCATCCTCACTTGTGGGAGGGTTACTTCCTTCATAGATTGCCTGCTTCTTGGTGCTAAGACTGAAGTTGAAATCAAATCAGGGCTGCAACAGGTTGAGATACGAGCTATAGTCTAAACTCCTTAAAGGGATTGCATAATATGGGATATGGGGTTTAGAGTCGAAACTCCTTAAAGGGGGCTTACATAGGGGAGTACATAGGTGAGTATTATAGGGGGTATTAAGGGGGAGACTAGGAGTTTAGACTACAGTATAGCTCGTATGGAGTGGCACCCTTACTACCCCAACCTCCGAATATGAGGATGGGGTTGTTGGGGGTGGGTCAGTCACGGAGGGGATAGAACACGACAACATTACATTAACTGCCAAAAAGTTGGAACAAGTATCCTAATGCTCGAGGAGTAGATTCTAGGGAATTCCAGTCTCGCCTGTTCTTCGTCCATACCCTAATACCCTAAGCTCTAAACCCCAAACCCCAGCACTGAAGCCTAAAAACCCTAAACCCTGAGCCCTAAACCCTACACCCTGAAGCCTAAACCCTAAACCCTGAAGCCTAAACCCTAAACCCTGAACCCCTAAACCCTACGTAAACCCGCTTTGGCCTCCTCCAGCCTCAGTGACAGCACAGCGCCACAGAATAGACACTGAAATGATACTACAAGGCAGTTTAGGGTTTCGGGTTTTAGGGATTAGGGTTTTAGGGTTTAGGGAGCAAGGACGGGGGAAAGGTTTAGGAAATTGGTTTAGGGTTAAGGGCTTAGGGTTTATGGTTTAGGGCTTAGGGGTCCCCAAAATTGGGGCCCTGTTTTGGTACAGCCCCAAATCTTAGCTGTCGTGCTATAATCTGCAACCGAAAATGGGTCCATAATGTGGAGAATAACGCATGGGCTTATCGAAATCAGGGACCGTTTGGCAACCCCAGGGATCTTTCCAGATTATGCAAAGGACACCTTTGAGCCTTAGGGAATCCCAGGGATCTTTGGGAGTCAGGTGGGGATTTCAGGGATCCCGTTTTGGGAGTTCATCGGGGCCCTGTTGAAGTTAGGATCCTTACTGTTGCCACGCACAATGTCTGTCTGCTACTGCAGATTTTGTCGGGCTTGACAATGCATGCTTCGAACTCCACCATGCTGCGCACGAGGAGTCACAATTAGGAATGCAGGAATGGATTCTGAGGGTCGTTAGCAGAATGGGGGACCCCAATATAGACCCCCAAATACTATAGTCCTTATTATAAGGACCCCCAAGAAGGTACCCCTAATTGTAGGAAACCCCCAGAAAGGGCTACTGTAGGGATCCATTCCGTCATTTCTCCTTTTCAGCGACATCCTGTTTGCCTTGGCGTGCTCAGGAAGCGGGATCCCATAAGCGCCTACTTAGTGGTCTGCACGCTTTGAGGGCGCGAGCAAAAACAGAAGGAATCCCTAAACCCTAGACCCTAAACCCTAAACCCCTAAACCCTAAACCCTAATACATCACAATTTCAACCACTGGCAAATGGCTGCAGGGCTGAGATCCTGACCCATCCTGCCAACAAGGGGCTGGATTCAAGCTGCAGGCAGTGTTCCTAAACTTACCCTAAGGGTCCAAGTACCATGGGTTCTATATTGGGGTAATATT